CCCCCCCCTCCCCGCATGAATTTACCAATTTCTTATCGAATCCTTTTTATCCGTGAAACATCCATCCGTTAGAGCCGTCATCGCCGATCACGAACAAAAGCTTCGTCCGCCGTTTCGACAAGAAAACTGCAGGTCCCAGCAACTTCGAAAAGATTTTCGCCAACTGAACGATAAGAACGTTATCGTGTTAATTAATCTCGGCAAGTGACGACGCAACGAGGGATCACCTCCTTTCGGTTCGATCCTTTCATCACCGCGCCGCGCTCGTTCGTCTTTCAACCGAATATATTAAAAAAAAAAACACCTCCTGGGTGTAAGTAACCTCCTGGGAGACCCCGCGAAGTTTCAAGCGTTAAGTTATTACAATCAACGCGGCGAACTACGTGCGAGGTATGAATAACGTGACTCGATTACTATTATAATTACCGCGTGATGAGATTTTCGACTTGACAAACGCGGCTGAACATTTCCTCAAGAGCTTCTTGGCTCAGACCCTCGAGAAATTCGAATCTAGAGAAAAAGAGAAAAAGATGTTTTACACAATCTCTTTATTCTTAAAAATTCAGATGTTTCCGGTGACTGAAATATTCTCTGGCGACGTCAACCGCTTCACCTTCTCATTTTTCGACCGTTCTGATCCAGTAATTTTTGTTGTTTCTCTGTATCTCGAAACTTCTTGCAGCCCACGACACGTAGTCCGTGGACGTAGCCCTGGCGCGGCGCCAACGTCTCGTTTGAAAAATCCGCGATATCATTTCTTACATACGATGCCCTAACTATTTGCAAGAGTGGAATAAATTTACCGGGAAATATCCATTTTGCTGTCCTTTAGTTTTGAGTTACAACAGACTCAGGCTAAAGTTATGTGAATGAGTTAAGCTCAGTTTTCACGTGCAGTAGAATTTTCAATTGTTTCTTTCTTTTTTTTTTTTTTTTTTCTTTATGGGGTAACACCTCTTTCATGTATCGTACCCGAAGTTATCACGCAACCACGTCGACGTTATTTCAGATTCCTCTGTTTAAGACTCGAATTAGGCGTGCAATGGTTTTACGAGCGCCCGTAAATAAAGGAAAGCAGGGAGGCGAGTGTGTTGAGAATCAAGTGCAAAGGCGCGAGAAAATTGAACTGCCTACGTGTGGGAAATTTTTCGTAACAATTACGAACACAACGTGACGAGGCTTCGTGATTTATTACGCGACATGAAAATATTTGGAATAAATAGTTAATAAATTCTTATTTTAGCAACACATCGAGACGCGTGTAATTATACGCGTTAAACGGCGAAGGAATTTCAAAACGAAACAATGATAATACTAGTTAATACCAGGTAATACCAGAGTCCGATAATACCAGATTATATCAATTTCACGCTCGAACGGTTAAAGAACGATGTTCAATTCCTTGACTTGTTCCACTTGTACAACTTTTTATTTTTATTCTACTGCGGACCGAAAGAAACTAAACTGGTTCGCGTATTGATAAGCTAACCACAATACTTCAATCATGAGGAATGAATCAACTCCTTCGAAACGCTACAACGTATTTCTCTACTTGCAATATTTATCAATGTTCAAACTGGTCAAATTATTTGAATTCAAACAAGATACGAATTCGAACAAGAAGAAACTTATACTGGACTCGATTTCAAGAAAATCTCGTAAAAGTTCTACGTATCACGGAAAAAGTTCTCGATCAAGCATAGATACTTGAACGTTTTGAACAAATGTTGCGCAACATTTAACAAACCGTTGAAATCCTTCAGCTACGAAATATTGTTCTACTCGCATGGAACGTTATTGTTCTGTTTAATTTCAACAGAAATTCTTTTTTGCACGAAAGATTTCAACGTTCTCAAATGCTTTCAAACGCTTTGATCGATAAACATTTGGCCAGGAATAGTATTCTGCAGAGGAAGTATTTCTTTGCTGTAAATCTGCAACACACCGATTGATTTTACGATCAATAATAAACCGTACGTTGTTCATTTATTCTTGAAACAGAATTCGTCGGCGTACAGTTTACGGTGGTGGTCTGAAGTCGTATGTCGTTCGTAATGGACGTACACACGAACAGTCAGACACTGCGTTCCTTTTATTGTCCCCCACCCCCTCCCCCCTAGACGCTGGCAAGTATATTAACATTATTCATGACTAATGGGAATAACGAGGAACGTGATTGCCGGTAATGTTGTACATTACTTTCTGTCTATGGCGCAACAACGTGTTCCGAGTTACGGTTAACAGATGTAAACGTATGCCGATGCACCGTGAACGTTAAACGTTTCCTATTTGTTTGCCACTGGGATATACTTACACGCTTTGCTACGCAGGTCCCAAATTTTTAGGGTGCGATCGTAACTGCCGGTAACTACTTTTGAAGGCTCGCCAAGAAACTTCGCCGCCATCACCTTGCCGCAGTGGCCCGTTAACGTGTGCTGAAACACAGAAATGGAAATGTCGTTTTCAGAAACGTTTACCAACACACACGCGTGATAATGGGATCGTTTGTAATCTACGTGACGTGTGAAAAAATCGGCGTGTGTTTGAGTGGAGAGCATATTGCCGCAGTTTCTGCGAGAAAGGAGGAAGAGTTCTCTTTGGTAGCTTCGACTACGGAAAATTATCGTGTCTATTAAATGTCGCTAAAGTACGCCAGTAGTTCCACGATCGCGAAATTTAAAAGGGTTGCAGCTCTGATTCATTCTCGATAAAAGTTATAGAATCTCATCACAGAATTTGAATAATTCTTCGAGTATAGCTGCGATAGTCTCCACTCGAGCCTTCACAGTCCGGACCGTTTCGCGGATGTATTCTGCGAATTGTGCCGAAATATCGTATCATGCAACCTTCTCGGCAGGTTACACGCTAGAGTGCTATAGTCTCAATTCTAAGAATTGATAGCGACGAACGCTTAACTACTGTTATTCCTCGTTGATCTTTCGATTTAGAAAGAACCTTCGTTTCTCGATGCTATTGTAGAATTCTCAAATGAAGATTCATTTATCACCAAGGGAACATAGCCGAAACGAAGTCACGGATTTTCACGAAACTTGGCATAAATGTAGTTCATATCGAAGAGGTGAAAGTTATTCCAAAAGTTGGCAATGCGGAACATATTCTGTCAAATATCTTGGAAACTACTGAATATACACTTTTTGTATACATCGATGAAATTAGTGTATATTTTGCGAAAAACCATTTTTTTGGATAGTTCTTCCACGTAAATGTTAGTACACTTTCTTAAATATCTATTTACGAAAATTATACGTTCAAACGTAAATTGCTGGATAATTTGGAATCTCGATTGTCGCATAGACGAGAAAATTCATCATTTTCAAATTCATCATTTTCTCGCTGCTCGTGTAACAATTGTACAAGAAATGAAAGCAGAATACGAAACGAAATCATAGCTTTGTTAACTGTCGAATTTAACTTAATTGTCATTACCATTTGTTACTATTTTATTACCATTACGTATTATTAATTCCAAATTACCGTCAAGATCATCGATTTCACGCAGTCCTAGTATACCGAAAGCAAGGCACGCGTACACAAGTGATTAAAACTGTGATGCAAAGTAATTATGCATCCACTGTACACGGATGACGCGATGTAATTTATGTTGCAACCGTAGAGGCTTAGAGTTCATAGAGGAGGGCTTCCTTTTCGTGGAAATTGAGTTTGAAAATCTTCCGAGTACATGGCGGCGTGGGTACGTTCGTGATCCTGCGTGTATGTCGCTATAAGGTTTGGATGTAATATACATGTATTCTACATCTTGTTTACATCAGCCTGATGCACGTTAACATGGAAGCCTGCGAGTGATCAATTAATAAAGTCAATAATTCACTAACATGCTGAACAACGTTGCCGGATTTCTAGGGAAATACAATTACCTGTATTTGTATAATTTGAAATAATAATTACCTGTATCATGATGGATAATCATCGTAATTTAAGCAATTTCTGCATTTAAAACCAAAGTAACAAGAAACGTGTGTGTAAATGAGACAATAAATGCAGAAAATTAATGTGCGAATATGAGCGGAATATTTCAATATTCACGGCAGCCTCGATCACGCAGTTGCACAGACTTCATTGAATCAGTAAATACAATTTGATGTTATGTGTCAACATTTATATTAATAATATTTTGAAAGATGATCTAAACGCAAACCACGCTGGTCATTTTAATTTCGACGTATATATTATCATCGTTCGTTCTCCTGTGCCATGAAATGAAACATTTGACCGATATGATTTTAATTTTCTATTAGAAATTTCGTTGGATTTTACTTTATTTTGATAGACCTGAATTCCCGTTAATATCGTTAATAAGGCGTAAAAAAAAATTTAATGAAAGCCTAATATATCGTATTAAGGT